TTTTTTTTTTTTTAAGTTCATTTATTTATTTGAGAGAGGCAGAGACAGTGCAAGTGGGTGAGGGGCAGAGAGAGAGAGAGAGAGAGAGAGAGAGAGAGAGAGAGAGAGATTGAGAGATTGAGAGAATCCTAAGCAGCTTCATGCTGCCAGCACAGAGCCTGACACAGGGCTGGAACTCAAGAAACCACAAGACCATGACCTGAAAGGAAACCAAGAGTTGGACGCTTAACCAACTGAGCCATTCAGGTGCCCTCATGTACTATTGATAACCATAGAACAAGGTGAAACTGTGTGGTTCAAGCTAATTAATTAGTAACATCTCCACACCCAGTAAACTGTTGCAAATCTCTCATTTAAAACCACCTATTACACATGTTTGAGAATTTCAGATCTGAAAGGAGTCAGGTGAAATCTCTGTTTTGGTGTCACAGATTTCAACAGGGCCAGTCCAATATATCTAGTTAACAGTAGAAAAGAAAGTTCAAGGATAATTGCCTTGTTAGTGTATTTGTAGAAGTCAAGTTCTACTAAATATATAAGAATCATGATATTTTTAGAATCTGCCTTTGACTCACATAGTTTATGATACAAATCTTCAAACCATACAGAGAGCAAATAATTAACTTTCTACCTGAATTAAGTACTTCTTTTATTCTGTCTCTCAGCTCAAGAATGAAGCCTTTTTCCGCCGAATCCAACTATTGCAGATTTTCGGAACATTTTTGTGGTCACAGATTCTCTTGAGACCCATTGAACTCTCCCCACACAGATTTGCTGTGCACATGCATGCACACACACACATGCTCCCATGCACACTCAACACTGTGCACATAATTTCACTGGGCTCTGGGATCACATAATTTTATCTGTGGATACCAGGTTAGGAGTTCCTGTTGGGTTGGTTTTGTGTTGTTCTGGCTTTAGATAAAATTAAGAAGGGTGAGACTGCCTTTGGTTCATCCCTCTCCTTTGCCGTGGACACTCAGTGTCTCATGTCTCGTGTGCCAGGTTTCACATTAGAGGACGAGGGTACCAGTATTCTGTACTTTGCCTTTTTCTGCCTCTTTTGAGTGTCCAGAACTCCTCTATATTTTCTTTCATCTCTACCCAAACGATCTGTGTTTGGTAAATCATTAAACATCCTGCCTAAATTATAATAATGTTATAACCAAGGCACAAGGGTTTATATTTGCTTCTGAGCAAATATCTTACCATAAGAGTTTTAAAAGACATTGAAGACCGTGGCAAGGTTACCTGGCAAAAATAATTCTCTTTGGAGTTTTTCTCTGGCCTGCTGTGAAAAGCATCTTTTCTTCAGCCAGTCAGCTTCAAATTCACTGTAATGCTCATTTGGCCACGTGATATAAACCTTTTAACACAGAAAGCAGATATCACCTATATGTATATTATGCTTCTATGTACTTTGGTTCATTATTGCTCTGTTTTTTAATGTTAATTTAAGATAAGCAGGGGATCCACCTAGCCCTTACTTCTTTTACTTTTTACTTTATTTTTATTTTCACTTATGTACTCACACGTATACAATGCTCTTTTGGAAGACAGGAGAACTGAAAGCCAAAGTGATACATCTGAGCTCTGAGGCCCCTTGAACATCACAGAAAAAGTAAAATGTGACTCAATCTGAAGTTCTCGTTCTGTATCTCCTAAATCTGTTGTTTCCAAAATTTCTGTGATGACTTAAAGTGAGCTATCACTGAATTTAATATTCCTTCCAAGAGTATCAGAACGAGGAAATGATGAGGAGGAGGCAGATCATAATAATAAATGACAACAGCACTCTGAGTGCATCCTGTGTAACGAACACTACAGGCATAACTCCTCTAGTCCTCATACAACTCTAGAAAGAAGGTACTACTCTTATTCACATTTCCAAGCAAGGAATGTCTGAGTAAATATTTCTAAGGTCACACAGCTGGCAAGCGGTGAACCCTGGGAGTAAAGTCCTTCAGTTCAGATAAAGACAAGAGGGGGAAGAGCCATGAGCTAGCTGTCACATTTGCTTTTCTGAGAACTATCCTCTTCACTTTGGAAGAGAGAAACACAGGCTGGTGGTCACATCTACTTGGTGGTTTTGAGAGGCTTGTTTTCCAGAGTTCTAGAGCAAGCCTTGCATATCGACTCACTCATTTGACTAAAACTACAGTCGTCGATACAAGTTTTTCAGTGTTCACTGCATGCCGGACACTGTGTTAAACATTTTTACCCATATTACCTCACTGAATTCTCATGTAATCTCTACAAACAAGTTCTGTCAGTTTCCCTATTTTACAGATGAATAAACAGAGGCCCAGAAGCACTCTTGTTATTATAGAGATAGTTTGATTGTGTCTTCAGGGCTGTTCACGAAATTCCTTCACGGAAGGAATAATGAGCAATACTGTAAGTTTTATTAAAAACAGTAGTAGTGATAAAACTACGAACAACAATAACAGAAGCTTCCATCTACTGAGCATGCTTGCCTTGTCCCGAGCACTACACAAACATGGTTCTCTGTGTAGTTATAGACATGATCAAATGAAACATAATCCCTTCTTTAAGTTATTGGACAGTAGCCCCTTCAATGAACTGGGGAGATAAAGGAGAGATAATTTAGAGATAATTACCTTTTTTCTGTCAAACGTCAAGCCTTTAATACCAATGTTCACATCAAGAGCTTCGATGAGAAGTTTCCGTGCTTTTGCAGAATCCAGGTAGCAATCGGGGCACTGGCAATTGTCTCTCAGCCATACAGCAGGGTAGAGAGACTCCGCACCGTCGTGCCAGAAGATCTGCAACAAGTGAGCCCCATCCACCACTTCTGCCTTTTGGATGGCACAGTGCATGTTTCTGGTTCTTGCAGGTGAATCCTGTCAGCTGCCTGCTGTGACAAATCTGCGTTAAAAGGAACCTCAGGCGGCTCAAGTCTGAACTTGACTTCCAAGAGTGTGAACAATTCAAGTGGACTCTGGCTCCTGCTGTTCAGTCAGCTGCCAGAGTCTGCGGCTTGACTGATCAATGCTGGGACCTTTGTTCTGATGAGAGTATCTCGTATGCTGTAAACAGAAACACAGTGACTGAAAGTACATAAGATAAACATGCTGAGTCAGGATCCAGATGAAAAGAATGCCTTGTTTCTTCCAGAAATTTTATTTTATTTATTTATTTTTTTTTCAACGTTTATTTATTTTTGGGACAGAGAGAGACAGAGCATGAACGGGGGAGGGGCAGAGAGAGAGGGAGACACAGAATCGGAAACAGGCTCCAGGCTCTGGGCCATCAGCCCAGAGCCTGATGCGGGGCTCGAACTCACGGACCGCGAGATCGTGACCTGGCTGAAGTCGGACGCTTAACCGACTGCGCCACCCAGGCGCCCCTCTTCCAGAAATTTTAGATAATAAGTTCAGAACCAGTGACATAGGCACTTTGATAATTATGTTTGCATGAAAGCTCTGAAAATTTTTTTAAAGGAGAAAAACACTCCACAAATTGGAAGTATAACTAATCATGCCTGTGCTATTTTAACTGACATCCAATTACACAAGCCTTTTGCAAAAAAAAAAAAAAGTGTTTTTATGATACTAAATTAGTAAACTTGGTCTACTGAGGGAAATTTTAATGCAATTATTGATTGTAACAGATACTATAATCTGGTACATTGTGCCATTTCTATCCTACCATTTACTTTTTGACTAATACAATTCATTTTCCAAGTGCAGTATAAAAGTTCCCAGGCTCTGCAAGCCTCCCATTCTCATCTTGCTTGATTTGCTCTCTGGGATTTTCTGTTTTGATATAATGTGCCTCGATATTTTGGCTCATTTAATCTAAACCTTTACTGGGTATTTTTATGAACCTGCACTTTACTTTGGAATACATGACTTCTTTTTAGTAAGAAACACACCAAATTTGAGGACATGAAGTATGTATAGGAAAGGGAAAGAAGCGAAAAGAGGCACAAGGTATTATGGACCGAGTACATCAGTGTTGGTTACGATTCCATCAATGACCACATATTTGGCTTTCAGAAATTGTGTCAGTGCTCTGAATTTCACTTTCTTCATACATTATTTTCCAGGACTCTAAACTTACATGGGAGAAATAGAACTTACATGGACAATGTAGAATTTATGTGGAAAAAGTAGACCTTCTTAACTTGTTCCATATAACGATTAGCCCATCATTAGTAGAAGGTGACATGTGATGATAGAAAGAAGACTTCATTGCCTTGGGATGAAGGGGAGGCACACACACATACACATGCATACACAGAGTGACTGTGTAACAATTCCCTTCTAAGTACCAGGCACTGCAAGGCACCGGAGGGTTCAATGACAAGCAGAATAAAATATGAAATACAGAAAATAGCTCTCTTTATTCGTTCTTATATATACAGTTAAACTTATTCAAATAATACTAATCTTCTTTTTAAAAACATTTGTTTGTTTGTTTGTTTGTTTGTTTGTTTGTTTGTTTAGTGTGTGTGTGAGAGAGAGAGACCATGAGCGGGGGAGAAGGGCAGAAAGAGAGAGAGAGAGAGAGAGAGAGAGAGAGAGGGAGAGAGAATCTTAAGCAGGCTCCATGCTCAACACAAGCCTGACTTGGGGCTCAACCTTACGACAGTGAGATCATGACCTGAGCCAAAACCAAAAGTCGGATGCTTAACTGGACTGAGCCACCCAGACACTCCATAAGCATCTTCTTTGTGTCTGATATGCTGCACCAGAAAGTTCAAAGATTACCATGAAGTTCCAGAGTTCAAGAAGAAGTGAGATGATTATGAAAGTAAACAAGAAAATACGGCTTGGTCCAAATGGCACTAAGAGCTGTCTGAGAGGTTCCAGGACACTTGCTTAGAGAAGACGTCTATTTGAGGAAGTCTTACAGGATGTGATCAATGCTTCTGAATGCATACTAATTCCTTGTTCCTCTAGACATCCATATGGAGATGTGGCCACGTTTACCAGACATGTGGTTATACCAAGTCTTCTTCTCTTTACAAGGCTATGTTTTATCAGTGGGTGGCAAGCAGATGAGAGATAGAGAAGATTCTGGTTTCAAAGCAAATAAACACCAACCTGGATGATGGAATGTCCACAGGCAAAACAAAGCAGGAAAAAAATGCATATATGTATGCTAATTTGTTTACCTTATTATTCTTTTTGCTACTTAACCTGATGTATTTATAAACTGATGGATTATTCATTTGCTAAAATTACTTGCCAAGAATCAAAGGCAAAAGGTACCTCAAAATATCAACACACACAAAATAAACATATGTAGCTATCAAGCTCACCCTCTTTATACTGAGAACATAGCTATCTTTTAAAATACATTTTTCATATTGGTCCTGGCCTGATTTTTCAAAACAGCACAGGATGTATTTATCCCCCTGTAATAGTTCTTCAATTACAATGGACCATAATCAAGTGCCTTTTCATCCCTTCTCTTCTCTAAATCTACTCAACTTTTCAGCCTTTGCTTTATAATATGTGATCTCTAGATTATGTACTTTTCAGGGTGCATGGTCACTTTCCAGTTTACAAATGTCCTTCAAAATGTGTGGCTTCGAATAATACAATATAGAACAGATAGGATATTTCTAGTATAAAAAAGAAAAATTAATACCTTAATGAAGAAAGAAGGTTGTTTGTCTTTCTTTCTTTCTTTCTTTCTTTCTTTCTTTCTTTCTTTCTTTTCTTTTCTTTCTTCTTTTTTTTTTTTTTTTGCCTTGAGAGTTTGGAAGCATAGTGGCAATTGTTTACAGGATCTTACAAAAGAATAGCTAGTTTGGTTGTACAATAAGAATATTGGTTTTAATTATATTGATGGTAAGATTACAATATTAGTAAGAGTTTACATTTACCAAATGCCTTCTTCATGCCACTCATATTTGAAGTGCTTTACATACAATGACTCATTGAATATTCATTACAACTCAGTGAAAAATGTACTGCAATTACCTGAATAAGCCACAGAAAAAAGAGGTTAGGGGATATCAGCATACCGATGATAGTAGAACCCGTCTTATGTTCTCCAAGGGAGTAAGACAATTAAGAAAAAAATAAATCCGCTTCATTTATGTTTATCATCAAAATTCCATGTATGTTGGTGTATACTCAAGACCCGACTCATTTTCCAAAATGTGTTCATTAATGAGTTTGAAAATGTTGTGGTTCAAAGGATTTTTATAAAACTAGAACTTGATACATTGATTCTTTTTTTTTTAATTTTTTTTTTCAACGTTTATTTATTTTTGGGACAGAGAGAGACAGAGCATGAATGGGGGAGGGGCAGAGAGAGAGGGAGACACAGAATGGGAAACAGGCTCCAGGCTCTGAGCCATCAGCCCAGAGCCTGACGCGGGGCTCGAACTCACAGACCGCGAGATCGTGACCTGGCTGAAGTCGGACGCTTAACCGACTGCGCCACCCAGGTGCCCCAATACATTGATTCTTAATGGATACATTGTTTGAAGGGCACATTTTCCACCATAGTAAACATTGTCCCTGTGCTTAAAGATGACACTATGCCCATATCCCACTTACTGTTGAAGTGGTAACACCTACAGGCATCTGTACCAACAAACACTAATTACATTCCAACCTCTCTCTTTTTTCTTTCCTTCTTCTACTTAACACGTTTGAACTGGGGAGGAAAAAGCACACTTCCAGATATAGGGAAACCTGATTCTTTTCCCCCAGCCTGCTTGGCCAAATGGATATCCTGAGGAGGGTTATTTCAAGAGAGGAGGTGTCATCAGGACCAGGGGCTGATGGGAGTTGCCTGAGGCAGACGGGAGAGTGTGGAAGAACTGGAAAAACTTGGGTGTTGCTGAAGGTAAGTTGTTTGGGTATCTGTGAAGGAACCTGTTGGGTCATTTCTACTCTTCACTATCCTTTTGTCAGTTTGTGACACATGTGAATGATAATCTAAACAAAAGCAGGGAGAAATGGGAAAATGGTTTCCCTCTTTAACTTATCTTGGTTTATTTCAACCTCTATTGCAGCAAATGCAATGAACATTCAAAAAGAAAGAAATATCGAGGATCATCAGTGTTTAAAGGCAAATTCTGAAACTTAAACGTTTGTACATGACTGTAATTTGTTGAAATCTGTTTTTCCATTTAGCCCACTTGACCTGTTAAAATTGAGCTCTTTTTAAGTTAAGCATCATGGAAATGTAGTTATTTGATAAATAATTGTGTTTCTCTGAATAAAAAAAAAAAGGAAAAGTAAATATTCCTAGCCATAGATATAGATATAGATATACAGATATACTCTTTGTTAAATTCATGAATATATGCTAAAGTCATGAATATACTTTTTGCTAAATTAAGGAGCACCTATAAAACAAAAATGTTTATTTGTTTTAGGACTAAATTATTACTGAGCTTCTCCTCATTCACAATTATACTTTGGTTTATGAAGTATCAGATTGGTTTTGGCGGAAAGGAGTAGATTTGCTTGTCCTGAAAAACAGATTTTGGATAAGGGGGATTTCAGTCTGAAAGAATAGATTTCTTTTAACTTAATCCAATCACGTGTGTGTGTGTGTGTGTGTGTGTGTGTGTGTGTGTGTGTTCCTTTCTAGCTGACTCACCATATTTTTCCCCTTCAGAGTTATAGAAGTTTATTTGGGACTCCTGTTTGGCACAACTAAACTGTCTGTTTTAGAGATTATCCTACTTCAGCAATGGGTGTGGTTTTTGTCTTTTTAAAATTTTTATAAATTTGAGTTTTGTCAGCTCGTTTTCTCCAGCAATGTTTGGAAACTTGAGAAAGTAGCTCTGAAAGTTATTTTATGCATTGATCTTGGAATTAAAAGAACCTGGAACTAGAACTCTCAGAGCCTGAAAGAAACAACTTGTGATATAGGTGGGCTAAGTTCCCTCATCTGAAATGCAAGGACAATGGAAGCTCAGAGATACTGAGTGTGATTTGTCCAAGCCTGCAAGGCTGGCTAGTGGGAGAGGTTGCTCCAAACCTAGGTTTGCCAGTTCACTGTGCACATATAAACATTTTCTAGTTCTAATAAAAGAGAGTGCAAAAATTCCTTGAACACTAATTACAGCTAATTTGAATCATAGGTTTTGGATAGGATTCTCAGGAAGTTGATGCAGAACCTTCATAGTTACTTTACATAAAATTTAAATTGATAGAAATTAATATGTCTGAGAAGATATTAATTAATCTTCTCAGACATAGAAATTAATATGTCTGAGATAGAAATTAATATGTCCAATCTATTGGATTACTCACCCCTAAAATAAAACACTATAATTTTTTACTATTTTTCATAATAGAAGGAAAGAATAGAGTGGACTTATGTTATCAAATGTCAGTATCTGTTAATTTCCATCTTCCCTTCTTTAGTTAAGTCATCAGACCTGCTATCAGATAGTAGGATCCTCTCCGGTGTTTGACCTCCTGATTCTAGGTAAGTAAGATCAGAAAATAATCAAAATGCAAGAAATATGCAAATTGCATGACAGAGAGAGAATTTGTGTGTGTGTGTGTGTGCGTTGTATGCATAAAACTATTTATTTTGCACTTATTATGTTATAGCCCCTCTGCTGATGCTTTCAATTACATTAACCTTATTTAATTCTTATTTAATTCATGAAACTATGAATTTAGTGCTATCACTTCTATTTTACAGGTGACCTTGAGCTTGGACAAGTGAGGTAACTGACTTGAAAGCAGAGGAATAGTAACTTGACCACTACTCAGTACTACATCATGGAGAATCTGTGGCTGAATAATTTTCCAGGCAATAATTTTAAGTTACCAAAAATGTGTTATTAAAATAGTAGCCAAATCTCAAGTTTGTTGGTTGTTAGTTGACCTCACCATCCGACATTTCATCACTGCAAGAAGAGGACAGAAAGTTTTCCAGACATTACACCATAAAGGCTTAGAAGGTATTACTATTATTTTCTATATCAACTTTTAAATCATAAAACTAAACTCATTTCCACTTGGTAAGGTAGAGGCTGACCAGACTGTGTTTGAGTGTCTGAACTTTAGTATCATTTGAATACATGCCCACTCTACTCATTACACTCGCTACCTAAGAGTCTTCAACTTGTTTTTTATTTGTTTTTAACTTGATTTAGTGAGTGGCTGAGCTGCTTAATAATTCATGAATGGACTCCTGTGAGTAATGAATTCTATAAAGTCATTAGGAAAAACAGTCCCCATTCTCTTAAGTAGGTTTACCATTCTGCCTGCTATCTTGTTTAAAGTATCAAATTTTGTGCAAACACTTCCTTCCTAAGTTATAAAAAGGAAAACTTTTTTATAAAAAGCTTCACTCTGGTAGCATTGCCACATTCAGACTGATACTTGTACGTCAAGGTGTTTGTTTGCTGATATGATGTATATTTTTCTGGATCTAGATTTTATGACTGCTAAATCTTTGGACCAGAACATATATTCATTATGAGAAGTCCTATGTTTTATAATAAAATCAATTCAAGATACCTGGCATATCTCTTCTTGAGCTACATTCAAAAGCAAAACAATTGAAAGCACACACAAAGTTCGGTCTTAATTGATCAGTATTCTAGAAAAGCATGTTACATTCAGCTTCTTGGACTTCACAAAGGGCCAAGGTATATAATATGCAGTCCCTGTCTTTGGGTTGGATTGTGGATTATTCAGTGAATATTTCCAAATCCAGCCAGAACGCTCCCTTTCCCACCACCCAGCCTGTTTTTTAGACAGTATGCTCTCTGTCCCCTCTGTGTGCTTTCTGGATCAGCTTAGGGACTGTAAAGTAACTTGACTACTAGACTAAGCCAAACATAATTGGGAAAGGAAAGCTGCCAAGAAGCAATCAGATCCCCTGCATTCCAAAATCAAGCCTATTCCAAATGCCTGATGGACCATCCCCATCGCAGCCCACACGGCTGTAAGACACATGTGCCTGGATTTTCAATTGGATGCCCCCTACCTCCACCCCAATCCACAGACCTGAAGCCCTTCAAATAAGGCAAAGATGAGCTCAGTCATACCTGTTCTCAGATGTGCTTTAGGCGCCAAATCATGCAAAATTTACCGAGGAAAGAAAAGGTCAGCTTTGATCCTCAATGTCTTTTGGGGGAGGGAGCCTCCTGGTAACCAGCACATCCCAGATTGATCTGCCCGCAGTTTCCCTACGTCTGACATCTGATGTAGTGCTATTACTTGGGAGCCTTTCTTTCTGCTCCTGGCGGCTCCACAGAAGCCCTGCCCCCAGACACAGCTGAGGTTTGCAAATGAGGAAGGATGTCCCAACCTGAAGGTGTAGCAACTCCTGAAGGGAGCTGGGAAGGAGAAAAAGAGAGAGAGAGAGAGAGAGAGAGAGAGAGAGAGAGAGAGAGAGAGAGAGA